TCACCTTCAAAGCCACTAGTTTTCCATTCACCCTGGCAGCAACATGAAGCACACACAATGTATACTAAACTGATCCAGTTTCTTTTTTTTGCGACAATAAAGGAAAACTCTAAAAATGAGTGAAGCCAGAGAACAGCGAGGATATTTAAGCCAGAGAAATGTAATTTGGCGGCAGTGGAGTGAGACGCGGGTACAAGGCGAAGGGATTACAACTGAATGAAGCTCACCAATCAAAGCTGTTGTAGTTTAAGAGTGACGCCAAATAACATCATTACTGAGAAGATTAGAGTCTGTGGAGTTTTGTACATTTTCAAGAATTTAATTAGCAAAACTTGCAAGGAAAGCGGCAAACCATGAAATGTGACTGAAGACTATTGAATCATGGCGTAAATACATTCATCCTATAGTGATTAAAATAAAGGAAATTACATTGCATTTGTGAGGTGCACAGCTTTGCAGACAAGAAATATTATTTTACATAAAACCTATTGAATTGTTTCATTCCCACACAGCAATGCTCCCGTATAATTAAATGTAATATTTGCTGCATCCATGAGTGATTTCTTGCAACTATAAAGAAGAGTAACTGGATTAGACAGTGATTCCACGCTACTTACTTGCTCTTTCCTTTGTAAACTGTAGCATATGAACCCTCTCCCAGTTTCTCCAGCTTTTCATAGGAATCTGCCTTTCCAAATTTGGGGCTGGTGGGCTGCGGGAAGAAAAAGAAAGAGATATGAAAAGGCAAAATGAGAGGGTGAGTTCAGTAACCCAGAAAAGCGGCGCCTCGGAGGATTTCACAGAACACATTTACAAGTGTCTGAGAGATATTAAAATCTGGAGGCTCCCTGCTGTATCATCGAGGAGGTGTAATGTCGGTTGGGAGGGAGAGAGAGAATTTTTTTTACCAAGTCTTCTTGTAAGAGCTCCTTTTCATTTAATTGTCAGCTGATAACTTTTAGACACTTTTCACCATCTCAGCACTTCACAGAGAAAGAAATAACTGTGGCTCGAAGAGAAGAAGGCACAGACGTTAGCATATTCATAGCTAACTGCTAGGAAAGGGGAAACTTCAACTCACTGGATGCTGTCCTAACATCTGCTGTTGTCAGTGATGAGGAAAAGTGCTTAACTAAATGTAACTCTGACGAAAGCATACGTGCCAATCAAGTATGTGGATCACCTCCTCCTCGCTCAGTCACCCAAGAGGAGAAGTAGGACGGTGACCTCCTTGTGACTAAGAAAAATCCAATTATTTTCACAT